CACCAGTCGAGCGCCCGGGCCCGGCTTCACATGCCGAGCGCCCGGGCCCGGCGTCACCTGCCGAGCTCCCGGGCCCGGCGTCACCAGCCGAGCGCCCGGGCCCGGCGTCACCTGCCGAGCTCCCGGGCCCGGCGTCACCAGCCGAGCGCCCGGGTCCGGCGTCACCAGCCGAGCGCGCGGGCCCGGCGTCCAGCTCCACCGCCGTTTTGCCAGCTCCACCGCCGGGAGTGGAGCTCAATGCCGCATTCTATACTGTGCCAATGCCTAACATGTCAATTCATCGTGATATAAGCTGCTCCTTGTAAGAAAGAATGCTAGATAGGGGAAGTTGGGGGAACGCCGAAGACTTTTTTTCTGACGCCCGTAGCACGCAAGGTAGACAACATAAGCTATTCTTATTGAAGTCATTCGAGAGGCCAGTCTTTTGCCTTTCAAACATACCAGGCGCATTTGATGAATTCGCATACCGTTAAGCGCACAAACTAAAAATATCAAAGAAGTGACTTTTTCGGCGTTGCCCCGGACTGCGGGGAAAGCCGAAAATGGGAGAAATGATCTACGGGGAATGCCGACATTGATGTTTTGCCATTTTATCTCAAACTTTATCCAGAATTCATCAAAGCTGACACGCGTTTTAAGAGCTTGAGGACGCGGTGCACACTGGAAGTTATAATTGTGTGATATAATAAGAAAATGCCAGGTAAATCATTCCTTATAGGTAACAGGCCGTTGTGTCGGTTGAAAGTGTAATTTGTGTGACTAAAAATACGCGTTGCTATTCTACAGCAGTAAAGTCCACGTAGCGTGCTTTTAACACGTGCGTAATCGCACGTTTTCGGCATTACCCCAGCCAGCCATACTTTCATTTGCAGGCCCATAACTTTTCAACGTGCTGTATAAATTTCAAATAGGCAGCACACTTATGCAAAGACATGCTAAAGATTACTTGACCGAATTGGCCAGACAAACGGTAGCATAATGAGTAAGAAATGCAGCTTCAAAGGCGCATGTAGTACACGGGAAATGTACCTTGAAAACGCTCTTGGCGCCCTCACAGTCGAAGTATTCCGAATGACGACTCGTAACAAACATGCGATAATTGTAGTCACTTAAGCTTCAGAGCATCACTGACAGGTGGCATCCATGTCTTACGGTTTTCGAAATATCCCGAATTTCGGCTTTGCCCCAACTCCGGCATTGCCCCAACTTCCCCTAATCATCAGATGTACTGTGCGCATTTGCGGCACTGAAAGTGTGCGTCATTGCAGAACCAGTTGCCCTAAACACGCACACCTGACATTCAGCCCCCTCCCGTCAGCACTGACGCATTCTGGGTAAAGCATGCATGCCTAAACTGAGCCCCGTTTCATTGCCATCCGGTCAGTGCCCATCGATCTTTCCGGCCTATTCAGGTTTACGCGAGAAGTGCATGCGTCTTAAAACATGCATTATTGCTTCAGGCACTTTTTTGCTGAAGAAACATTGCACCTCAATCACAATATCCGCCATAACTACTCACCTTTTGAGCCGAAAACACCCCACCGCCGTCCACACGCAGCACAAATGTCGCTGGAAGTGATTGACAGCTGATTTTTTCGTTCCTGGCTTCTGCTGAAGGAACTACATTAAAAAAGGTTCTTGGTGTGCGCTTTTAGGAAGTGTGCGTCATAGGAGCCACTTACCCTAATATCGCAAAAAAATCAAAAATGGGCCTGGAATAGTGCCTTTTTCGCCTAAAAGTTTATCGGTTTTTAGATATGTATAACAACTGTAGTGGGCTCACCTGCAAACAGGCGTCGGCAACAATCGCGAATGCGGCGCACATGTGACAATAAGCAAAGGTCATTATAGTGTTACGACCATACGACGTAGGGAATGAGTTATCAGCTGTCTAATCGTAGACAACACAATGTCGAGCCTTAAACTGTAAGCCTGTATTGGTATTGTTTCTTTTATTTGGCTGTCGAACATTATTTATGGTTTGAAATATGATTTTATGTAAAATAATTGATATGAAAAAGCCGTCTCATAAGTTATGACCCCATTTCACCATACGCAAGTGGCAGAAATGACAATGATCAGCTGACGCATTTTTCTTGGCCGAAGTCAGAGCGCGCAGCCCGACGCACCACCACCGCACCACAAAGTATGAGCAGAAGCCGCGCCCAAAGCCAGGGCCCCGGTAACGTGAGGTAGCCGAGTCGGGGCAGCGTGCGCTGACCCAAGCCGGGGCCGCAGCTTTGGGCGCGGTCTACCGCATCCCCGCGGGCAGCCCCGGGCTATCACATGACACCGGGAGGACGCGCGGCTCCGGCTTGGGTCAGCGCAGGCGCTGCCCTGACTCGGCTACCTCACGTTACCGGGGCCCTGGCTTTGGGCGCGGTCTACCGCACCACCTAACAGGCGTGTTCGAAACCGCAGGAGCTGATGATGAACGGGTTTATCGAAACTTGATTGGATGAGCATATCGGTAATAGCGATTTCAGTGTGTGCATTTATTGTTCATAGTGGTGTGAAATGTGGTTGGGGTACGACCGACAACCCGTCGGGGCGAATTTCGCACTGGGGTACTCAAAATTTGAAGAATCTAAGACGTTTCCATGAGTTTTGAAGGTATGGATAAGTTCTAAAAATCCGATTCTCCTTATCTGGGCCATTAACTCCATACGGTCCAGGAAAGCTGGCACACTACCTTTAAACCGTTGGAGAAATAGACGGGAATGCATCTGTGTCGATTTACCCTGGACGGTCATAGTTTACAGACAAACCATGTCCGAGACTCTCGAGCATGCAAACACGCTCGCATCGAATAAGTTTTCAAAATTATTTGCAGTCAATAAAGACATGTTATTTCACCGATCGTTAACTACAATTAATATGTTGCTTCCAGCCAATTTGAAAACAGTCTCTCTTTTACACTAGAGAAGATGGAGCGACATCGGACCGACAAACGGCAAACGGCATTTGATAGGTCGTTTAGAGATCTACAGATTTTACATGAAACATTTTCGGGTCAGGTCAATATTGAGGTCACCAGAGGTCATCAAGGATAAAATGCTTTGGCATTAGTTACTTATAAAATTTTTGAACTAAGAAACATAAGAGACATAAAATAATACATTTTTGTTGCTCTCGTCCAGGCGATGCGAAATACGTATGTGATAGCCTTCACAGGTCAATTTGAAATTTGACCCGAGGTCAAGGTCAGGTCATTCACCAATGAGGTTGTGGGGTATGGTCATGCTGCATACCAAACGACGCGCCTTGACCAGGCGAGCAATTTGGTATCACTTGCAAGTCTTTAGCACCATCGTGTCGTAATTTATTGACAAAAAAAAAACTATTTATGACGTCACATGACCTCAGATGATCTTTCCCGGTGTCCCTGTCAATAAGCGGCACTAGGATCATCACCGATGAGATTATCTTCCATAATACCGACAGAATTGGGTGGTTTTGACACGTTTACACGAAGCAGGAGGCATTTCAATATTTTTCAATTGGCTTGCAATGTAAAAGTCACGAGTCTGGCCTGACCTCAGATTACAGATCTAAAAATTCTGAGCTATACAAATTGCACATATTGGTACCCTAACTAAAGCCTGAAGAGAAAAAACTGATCGATCAGTCAAAAACTCTAGCTCAGGCGGGATCGCAAACTTTTCTGAGGTGGGGTCAACAAACCACCTCTGTCGACCTGACCTGACCTGACCCGGCAACTTTTTTGTCAAAATGTGCGCAATGAATGTTTAGGAGCTTTCAGTCTTACGGCGTTTGGCAATGGCACAAGAAAAACCTGAGGGGGGCCGAATCACCCGCCCCCCCCCCCCCGCCCGGAATAGGGCTAAGTCTGCCGGCCGACTGGTGTTGATAACGTTTTTTTTTTTTTGGGTAAGGCCCCTTCGGTCTATTGAGACCATTGCAGAGCCGGGATGGAGGATGAAAGGAATTAGGGGAAGACATTGGTCTGGGCAGACACCCTAGTGAGTCATCGGGGCTGAGCCCATTTTTTAGGACAGGCCGACCAGCCCCCCCCCCCCCCCCCAGCACTCACTGCACCCGGCCACGGGTGGGCTCCTTTAGGAGCAGCGGTGCACTCCAATGGGAGCCGCCCACATGGAATAAAGTTGCCTGTCCAGCCCGGACCAAGGGTTGCGACGTGGACGAGAAAGATTTCACTGTCCTGAGGAAAGAAACGACGGCCCAGGACGGGTCTTGCCGACTTCTTGTTTGTTTTGTTGGGTTAGGCCCTTTCGGTCTGACAAGATCATTTCAGAGCCGGAAGGATGATAGGAATTAGGGGGAGACATTGGTCTGGGCGGACACCCTTGAGAGTCGCCGGGGCTGAGCCCGTCCGAATGGATAGGCCAACCAGCCCCCCCCCCCCCCAAGCACTCTCTGCACCCGGCTACGGGGTGCGCTCCCTCGGGAGCAGCGGTGCCGCTCCAAGGGAGCAGCCCGCATGAGATAAAGGTGCCTGTCCAGCCCGGATTGGGGTTGCGGCGTGGAGGAGAAGGATTTCAGTATCCTGAGGATGGAAACGACGGAACGGAGGTTGCCGACTTCGTAGACATTGGGCTTATAGAGTGGGTACACAAGGCGACCTCTGTGGACTCGCCGAGTCAGCCGCCGTTAGCAGCGCCCCTTACGCAGAATGTAGATGTCGTCCAGGTCGGTCCTCACTAACTCTATCCCTCTGCTTCATAGCTCACTTACGGCTGTTGCACTCTCCTCCCTCCCGCGGCCCTCTCCCTTTCTCTCTCCCTGTCCCTTGGCTGGGAGGCCAAGGGACAGGGAGATGAGGGTTGCCTGAGGGTTGCTGCCTGAGGGTTGCTGCCTGAGGGTTGCTGCATTCTCCCCGTCGCCGTCCTCTCTCCCTGTCTCTCTGTATCCCCCTCCTCTCTCTCTCTCTCTCCCTCTCTCTCTCTCTCTCTCTCCCTCTCTCTCCCTCTCTCTCTTTATCTCTCCACCCCTCTCTCCACCCCTGTCCCCAAACCCACCTGCGGGTTGCTGAACTCTCCTCTCCCGCGTCCTTTCTCTCCAATGGACAGCACCAGGTCATCCTCAGCCGGCGGCAGGGGCGGCGGCACGGAGCGACGCGAGCTGCGCCGGCTCGACGGTTGGCTGGCCCCCGAGCCGCGGGAGCCGGTGCTGACCACTGAGGGAGAGGCGGCGCTGCCCGAGAGAGAGCGGCGAGCGGGCACCCTCTCGGCAGACGACCGCTCGCTGGAGACGTCTGAGGAGGGCAGCTGACGGAGGGGGGGGGGGCAAGAGGTCAGCAGAGTACCGTTTAGCTACATAGCATGTGAAGGGTCAAAAGTAGCGAGACATGATGATTGTCGGAATAGTGCACGCTTTAGCTTCTGAAGCTAAATATGTTCTCTAGTTGAAAAAAATATGCAAGTAACAGACAATGCAGTCTAAATGTAATGCAACATCGTTTATTTGGCCTACATCGATCATCAAGGAGTAATTATGTTTAGTTCTCAGAGTCACCCACCTGGCAGTGACCGTTGCTCTGTCCGGGGCTGGGGCTGTGACTCGAGCCCTGACTGTGACTCTGACTCGGACTGTGGCTGTGGAGCTGCGGACTGTGACTCACACTGTGCCTGTGGACCTGTGAGGGACTGTGTCTCTGCACACGCAGCTGGCCCGGACTGTGACTGACGCTGTGCCGGTGGATCTGTGCCGGACTGTGACCTTGACTGTGGAGCTGGCCCGGGGCGTGACTGAGACTGTGCCTGTGGAGTTGACTGGGACTGGGGCCGTGGATTTGGCTGGGACTTTGCCTATGAGCCAGGCTCGGACTGTGACTGTGTGTTCGTCCCGGACTATGGCTGTGAGACTGGCCCGGACTGTGACTGTGTGTTTGTCCCGGACTGTGACTGTGAGACTGGCTAGGACTGTGACTGTGTGACTGGCTCGGACTGTGACTGTGTGTCTGGCTCGGACTGTGACCGCCGCTGTGACTGAGTCGCGCCGGTATATCCAGCAGAAGCTGGTCCCCCGGCGGCCGGCCAGTGGCCCCGCCGTCCGTCTCCGACTGAGGTGCCAGTGCCGCCGGCTCGGGAGGCTCGGGACCGGCGCGGAACGAGCCGAAGGAGGCCAACTGTGCCTCCAGTCGGTCCGTGTTGGACGCCTCGAACCTGCCGCAGACACGGGAGGCAGCGTCAGGTCAGGAACAAAGCTAACGACATGGGATGACTGAGTAGGCTGCGACGGTGATGTAAGGCCTGATAAAAAGGGGACACATCTGACAGCGTTCGGGAGGTAATGAAAGGCAGCTGTGGCTCAGATATTAGATCAACTGGAACCTAGAAACATCCAACTTCCTTAGCGTCGATGAAAGGATGACGCGTGAAGCACACTAGGTGGCGCTTGTACCAGTGCAGTTTCTGCCGACCGAGCAGAGGGCGCTGAGGGTTAGCCACCTGGCACCCAGCAGGGTTTCCCGCACGAATATTCCGTTATTCAGCACATCCTCACATTTCTAACACACTCAGTAGCTGCCAGACAACATCAGTATCCCGTAGAGCAAACCTCTCCAAACGTAACGATAGTCGAGTTCATCCTACATCGGAATCTACCTCGCCAGCGCTGAACGGCGACTGAGTAGGCCGAGTCCGGGTCTATTCCAAGCATTCCGACCATCGGCCCTTCCCTCCTAGTGAGCCAGCGTGTCTGCACACACCCTTTTACAGCCCACTCTCTGACCGAGCTCTCAGTGTCGAGAGCAGTGTTTACGAGTCCCGTATGACCATCCCCGTAATTAAGTGTGATGGAGAGGCATAAATACGTGATTTAGGCCGGCCATAATGTCGGCACGGACATTGACAGCGTCACGGATTGCAGGCTCATTGAGAGAAAACGGTCCCGGCAAGTGAATGAAGATGTCACGGCGGCGCTGAGGCTGTCAATTTCACAGCGGGATTTAATCAATTGGAGAGTTCACACGTCGTACCCACGGTTGCCAATTATCCCGTTTAGAACCTGGTGACCACAAAATAGTCGCGTTACTTGCTGCCATTATCATCAGTCCTGAGATCTTTGACCACCAGTGGCCCTAATCATTCTCGCTGCTTCACTGCTCCTGATCAATTATATACTTGATTTGCATTTGACCTAATGATCGTTTGTCCGTCAGCCTATACCTTTAAATCTCAATCCGTCCGATCTTTGACCTCACTGGCCCACTGTCAGACCCGTAAAGACCATGCATGCACGATCCTGCCGTTAACCATCAGTCCACCCGACCTTATCTAGCCCTGGCTATTGTCCGTTCTTCAGTAATGCCCGGTTCGTATGCCATATGTGTCATTTCAAATCCTTATTTGATCCAGTCTGGCCCCAAGGCCCCGTCCGTCCCATTAGGGACCTCTTGGCACATCACGATCCCTATTTAATACCATCTGGAAGTTTTTTTCTGTCCGAGTCTATTAGACCTCGTCCTATCACGTCTAACCTCGTCTAGCTACTTCTGACCCTAGTCTGATCTCACATGACCCCGATTGACCTTCTAGAAGTCTGACCTAGTCTAGCCCCGTTCGACCTCTGGTTGACCTTAGGACGGGCATTAGCTACCCGGCGTGATCGCCACTGCTGTTGGACCACGTTCGACTGCCTTGACCCTCACTGCATCATTCTGACCTACCTTATTTGTTCTGACCCTATCTGCTCTCGTTTGGTCTCGCTTGGCTCCGAACAGGCCCCACCTGACTCCGTGCTCCCCAGACTGAACCTATCTGACCCCATCTGACCTCGTCTAGCCCTGACTAACCTCAGCTCCCCGGCGCGTTCGGCGTCGGCTTGCTGTCGCTGCTGCAGCAGCTGCTGACCGCCCACCCGGACGGTGACCTGTTTGTTGAGCAGCAGCACCTCTGTGTCGGTACCAGCGTCCAGCGCCCGCTCCATGTGCCGCTCACAGGAGTCCAGCTCCGTCAGGAACGAGTCCAGGCGGGCCAGCTGGTGCTCTGCACCGGGAAAAGGCAGAGGTCAATGGCTGTTTGGGGTACTACAACGCTTATAGACATAAACGCAGCAGGTGTGAGGGAACAAATACTGGAAGTGAGATAAGGAGCGCATATGGCAAACATTGGGTTACCGGCTTGTGGGTTTAAGGCACATGCGTGGGGCTCCACAGAAGTACACAACACAACGCATCGGCGATCGAGAAGATGAAGCAATAGCAATGCACGGATACACGGATTAAGCGCAGTGAATCACACAGTTACCGACGCCAACCCTCCCCCTGCAAACATGTTCTCCTGGGACGCTCCCTCACACCACTGCCATCCACTGTGCACTGAACAGCGTGCATACAGTGCACACTTGTCAGCGAACGAGAACGGAACTGTTGCCGTCCACTGCACATGAGCACCAGTCGCAAGGTCGGTCGGTCGGACGGACGGACGGACGGACAGACGGTCGGTTGGACGGTTGGTCGGTTGGTAGGTTGATTGGAACGAGGTCGGTTGGTCAGTCCGATGGTCTGACATGGGACGGTTGGTCGGTCGGTCAGTCGTTCTGATGGTCGAGTGGTCAGTTATTCGGTGCAATGGTCGAGAGTCAAACGATCGGACGGGCGGTCGGACGGTCGCTCGGTTCATGGTTCGACGGTTGGTTGGTTCACGGTCGGACAGTGGCGGCGGCAGTGCAGCATGGGCGACGAAGCGTCACGGTGGAATGTACATACCACATGTTCCGACGAATATCAGCAGGGCTAGCCCTGACCTTGGATGAGCGAGGGATGCACAGGGGAGCGAACCTCGCCATGTGATGGGATTAGGGAGGGTCTGCCGTTTGATGATTTTGTGAGAGCGTTTATGTGTAATACCTGTCCTGTGATGGGAGGCTCCAATCGGGCCCGTACCTACTGTGATGGAAAGATCGGATAAGTACCGCAGCGAGATAGAAAGATTCAATCATTGCCGTCCCGTGCGGTGGGGCTCAAGAAGAGCTCTATCCTGCAATGGAAGATCTTATAAGCATCCATTCTGTGATGAGTAAGAGGTCAGAGGTGCCGCAGGCAATGGCCGTTTATCTAAGATGTAATGAGTGTCAGCCTATCTACCCGGGCGGAGCGGCACAAGCCGTACCATTTACGTCGTCAGTCATATTTCCGTCGTCAGCTAAGTCCCTGTTTCGTTCGGTACCCACCTATATCACTGACTCTGTCCCTGTATATTTGCGCCAGCAGGCCGGTGAGCGCCTCCTTCCGCCTGTGGACCGCCTGCACCAGCGAGTCGCAGTACGCCTGCAGGTCCTGTTCAGCCTGCAGGCGCGCCTGGTGGAGCTGGCCGCCGGCGGCGGAGAGCAGCGCGCGACGGCGCCGCTCCACGTCCATCTGAGGGGGAGAGGGGGACAGAGAGAAGTTACACGGAGGTTACGTGGAGCACCAGGGCAACACGGAGACGTGGGACTTACACCGGGCTGCATAGAGCACCAAACGACACGAGATTACATGATACTTAGAGAAACATTGGGACACAGGGGAGTTACATGTGGACACGGCGGTGCAACAGAGGACATACATAGACGTGGTCTCCCTACGGTGCAAAATTTCAGATAAACATTGCAAACCGGGCATTTACCGAACCGTGGTATCCCAGATGAGATTAATCTAACATATTAGGTTCCGTCTAAGAGACTGACCTCAGGCTGTATGTTCCCGCTGGCATCAATTTACTGCAGTGGTTTAGGTGACAACCAGCGTGGCCCGCGTGGGCCCTGTTTTTTGCCGCATCTGCGCAAGAAATGTTATTGTTTTGAACGAAAAGCGAGCCGAGGGACATGGGACGGAGTGAGTAATGTATTTTCTTTAATATTTTGGTATGTATGCTTTTGTTTATGATTAGATGATATTTTTGCCTAAGTTTGTCATGTTGAAGTGCGAACAAAAACATTCTAGTCAGATATTATAGTCAGTTATCAGTTGGTTGCGAATGTGGCGCAGGAATGTTGAGGAAACGAGGGTTATAATACCGTGTTGTGTCTTTTCAGTTTTTTACGTGGCATTGCGGAACTGGATGAATATACTGAATGAAAAGGAAAACTGATGTCCTATCCACATGCTGCTACAGTAAAAAATCCCCCAATCCGAACAAAACTAGATGAACGTTGGGACCAATTCCTTGAACCTGTAGGTAGTGAAATGACCCGAACTAACATTCTATACACTGAGTAGAACTTTATTTGCCTCATATTATTTCAGTTCACCCAACGACCCATGAACCTGTACCTGTAGTGTTTACTTTTCTTTTATTTTATTTTTTGTTTGAAACTGCTTTGAAATGGATGAAAGTAAGAAGATGGAAGGTCTGGAAGGTGAATCGAAGGAGGGTGGTGCAGCACTGCTCGCTAGAAGGAGTGGGAGAAAGGTCACATTAAATCCGAAAGGTGCTGCATACCAGTTAGAAACCAAGGAGAAGAGCTATAATGTTCTTCTAAAGGAATTGAAGAAGACAGGAGCTGAACTGTTAGAAGAAGATGTGTCCGAAAGGGTCAAGGCAGATGAAGTTCTCCACAAAACAATGATAAAGAAGGTGAGACAGTGGCTTCATGGATATGTGACGCTCATGCAAACAGCTATCGATTTGCAAGCTCTGCTTCCTGCAGAAAGAAAGGAGGAGCATCTGTCAAGACATGCAGAAATAGGAGTAGAGTTGAACAAGATGAAAGAGGGTGTGGATGCTTTGCAAAAGGAACTTGCATTGACTGATCATGAAACAAAGTTTGAAGGTTCTGTGGCAGGAGCTAGTACGACATCAAGTTCAATGAGAGCAAACCTCATGATGCTGCGTCTCCAGGATGAGAGAAAGAAGGCAGAAGTGAAGGCGCAACTGATGGCCGTGAAGAAAAGACAAGAACTTCTGAAGGAAAGACAGGATCTGGAGCTGAGAGAAAAGGAGTTGGAGTTACAAGTGCAGCTTGACATTCAAAACGCACAAGAGGATATCAGCGAAAAGTTTGAACAAGAACTTCTGAATGAAGATGAGCCAGATGAGTATCAAAAGGACACACAAGTGAAGACACATGTGAAAACACAAGAGAAGAACTCAGATGGCAATGCTCAGGCCGAAGGAATTTTGACAGGACTGGCACATATCATATCAAAGTCACAGAACCAGCTGCCTGTTCTTGAACCTGAGGTATTTAAGGGTGACGTTGAGCAGTTCGCAATGTGGCTCAAGTCATTTGAATGTTACATTGAGTCAAGGACTACTGAGAGCACAGAAAGACTGCACTATCTTGCAACCTACACAGGTGGAAGTGCTAAACGTGCAATTCAAGGACTTCTCCAGTTGAGAAGTGAGGATGCCTACTCTAAGGCAAAGCAGAAACTGATTGAAAGGTATGGAAACGACTTTGTCACAGCAAATGCCTATAGGCAGCGGCTCCACAGCTGGCCACATGTTCGGCCTGGAGATGGCAAGGCCCTTCGTGAGCTGGCAGATTTCCTGGAAGGTTGTCTGGTGGCAGCTCAGACAGTACCAGGACTCAACAATCTTGGGAACATCGATGATATTACCCAGCTGCTGAAAAGACTTCCACGATATCTTGTAGATCGCCACTGGCGGATCCAGGGTGTCAGCGCGGGGGGGGCATACCAGGTCACGGAGCCAAACCTAGGGTACCCCCAAATCCTGTTTTCTCATCGGATTTAGGCCACTTATTTTTCGTCATAGCCCTGACACGAGTTTTTTTTCTAAAAAACAAAAAAAAACAGAAATGGTAGGACACCTGACCCCCATTGGCAGATCCAGGAGGAGGAGGCTTTTGGGACAAACACCCGGGCAGCGCCAGAAATCGACGAAAATTGGTGGGGCCGGTGGGGCCCTCAGAATGACTGGTGTAGGTAAAGAGCCGACCCAGGGTCGCCGGTGTGGAACCTTAAGAGGTACTGGCGTGGGACCATCAAAGGTATCGGTGTGGGTTCCCCAGAGGCAGTGGTGTGGGGCCCTCAGAGGCACTGGTGCAGGAACCACAAAGGAGCCGGTGTGGGCCCTCTAAGGTGCTGGTGTGAGGCCCTCACATGGACGCCGTTGTGGTGCCTCAGACACTGGTGTGGCGCTAAGCCCACACCATTCACAGATGGCTGTGTGTGGGGCCCTTGGAGTGGTTGGTGCGAAATGCGAATGCTTAATAACCCAGTAGGACCTCTCAGAGACCGACAAAGGGCCCTCAGAGGCCGGTAACGGGCCGTATGATGCCAACAATGGGCCTTCACAGGCCGGCAAGTGAGGGCCGGCAGTATCTTCAGGAGCCCTGTGGAGTCCTTAGAGATCGGCATGGTACTCTCAGACGCCGGTGGGGCCCTCAGAGTCACCGGTGTTACCGGTGGCTGACTGCCAGAGGCATTGGTGTGGGGCCCCAGAGGCGCCAGTGTGGGACCCTCAGAGTCGCCTATGTGGGACCTCAGGAGACACTGGTGTGTCAGAGGTGGCGGTGTAGGGCCCTCAGACGTGTCTGTGTGGTGCCCTCTCAGTCGCCGGTGAAGACTTTCAAAGGCATCGTTGTGGGAGTCCTCACTCCTCAGAGACACATGCATGGGGGCAAGGGGTCTTCAAGAGACCAGCAAGGGCCAGCAGAGGCCTTCAGGAGCCCTGTGGGATCCAGGAGACCGGCGTGGTACTCTCAGGCGTGGGAGCCCTCAGAGTCACCAGTGTGGGGCCCACAGAGTTGCAGGTAGGTAGCCGTCAGATGCGCCTGTGTAAGACCTTCAGAGGCGCCAGTGTGGGGCCCTCAGAGCGGCCGCCGATGTAGGGCCTTAAGAAATATTGGTGTTAGTCCCTCAGATTGGCGGTGTTGGGCCCTCAAAGGCGCCAGTGTGAGACCCTCACAGGCGCCGTTATGGGCCCTCAGAGGCACTGGTGTGGAGCCGTTCCATGCGGGTATGGGTCAGGACCCTAATTAAAGCTGAGCTGACGCTTAATGGGTCAGCAAGGTCACTCAGAGGTCATCACAGGGCCCTCAGAAGCCGGAGTGGGGCCCTTATGGAGATGTGTGATGTGTGGCGACTCAGGAGGCCGTGACTCCGTGAGGTGCTCTCACGAGTCCTGCGGGTCTTATCTCAGTCGAAATAAGGCATGCTTGGACCCTGAGCGGCCAATTGGCACTGCAGGGCCTCTCGGGCCCATAGGGCACCATGCATCTAATGAGGCGGCACGCGCCCCTTGTGCCCCCCCCCCCCCGGTTACGCTGCACTGGCTGCGGCCATACTGATAAAGGTAAATCATATTCTAACCGTCCCTATTCTCAAGCATAGGCGGCGGCCGATACCTGGTTCGCGCAATATGAGTGCCATCGTTAGACAATACGGTCAAAAGTGTTGAAGCGGCATGACTCCCCTGTGGTAAGAACTAAGAAGCAACATACTTACAAAATAAAGCAATGACAACTAAATTGAGGCTACTAAAACGACTCTGATCACAAAAGTAGTTACTAGGAAGGATTTCTAATCCATTTTTATTTAGTTCCTCGTTATAGGCGTAAGAAGTGTAAGTCTGAACGGGGGGGGGGCATACTTGTACTGAATGCCCTCCCCAGGCTCCTGTCGGGGGGGGCATATGCCCCTAATGCCCCCCCCTGGATCCGCCAGTGTAGATCGCTGGAGGAGGGTTGTAGATGAGCACATCTATGAACGTGACAAGTCAGAGTACCCAGGCTTAGAAGTGTTTGTCAACTTCTTGACCAAAGAGGCTCGAGTCGCCTGTGGACCAGTATCGCTGGAGACAGATCAAGACAAACTGAAGAAAACAAGAGACAGAGCTGGAGCATTCGCCTCTTCGACTGGTGCAGTAGCTGAAAGGAAGTCAGACAGGAATTTCAGAAGAACTGATCCCAGCTACCAAGCAACCAGCAGTAGCCAATCAGCTCCTGACAGCTACAGGTGGAAGTGTGTCCTGTGCGTAGAGAGGCATCCACTGGACTCATGTGAGGTCTTCGCAAAGATGGCCCTGCCAGAGAAGCATGCTGTGATTCGCAAGCATGGAGTGTGCCGTGGCTGCCTGCGTATAGGCCACATCTGGAAGGAGTGCAAGAGGAGAAGAGAATGTGGAAAGTGCCACGGTGCTCACCCGACACTCCTACATGATGATGATTTCAGGTCATCAAGAGGGACTCCCGGACGCTCGGTGTCAGTCGAAACACAAACGGCTACAACATTGAAAACTGAAATCAGATCACCGCCCAGCGATGCAGATGATGGAACCCCATGTTTTCATTCACTGATCGTGCCTGTACTGGTCCATCACCGGACAACACCGGAGCACAAGGAAATGGTTTACGCCATTCTGGATCCACAGTCTGATGGGACGTTCATAACTGAGAGCGTCTGCGACAAGATCAAAGCACCCGGAGTGGAAACCTCTCTGGAATTGAGTACGATTACTGGGAAAACCGAGGTGAAGGCGAAAGCAGTGACGGGACTGGTCATCGAAGCGCTGGACTCCAGCAGTGAGATCAGCCTCCCCACAACGTACACGCGTGAAGACATGCCTGTAGATCGACAACTGATCCCAAGGCGTGAGACAGCAGCAAACTGGTCTCATCTGAGAGAAGTAGCTGAGAGTTTGCCTCCCTACTACCCGGAGGCGGCGATTGGTCTACTTATTGGCTTGAACTGCAGCAGGGCCATCAAGCCTCAGGACATCTTGACAGGAGACGACAACGCACCGTGGGCAGTCCGCACAGCGATGGGCTGGGGTGTCGTTGGCCTCGCTCGCGGCAACAGAACGTGCTGTTTTGCATCGTGCGATGGTGCGGCGAGTAGGCAGTGTCACTTCACGCTGAGGACCCGAGCGAGGGAAGTTGGGCCGTCACATTTGATTGAAATGTTGGAGACAGGGTTTCAGGACCAACCTCAAGAGAGGAAGATCTCACAACAAGACAAGAGATTTGTGGATCTAATGGAGACGCAGATGCACGCCACAGAAGATGGTCACATGGAAGCGCCACTTCCACTGAAGGACCCAGAGGTTGTGCTGCCAGACAATAAGAAACTTGCAATGCAAAGGCTGCAAGGGTTGAAGAAGAGATTTGAAAGGGATCCAGGATTTCAGGCAGAATACAACACGTTCATGACAGAAATGCTGGAGACCGGAGTCGCTGAGCCTGTGCCTGAAGAGGAACTTGGTGGAGCCGGCAGCAATGGAGTGTGGTACCTGCCGCACCATGGGGTCCGTCACCCTCGCAAACAAAAGATCAGGGTGGTCTTTGACTGCAGCTGTGAATTCGATGGACGGAGCCTAAACAGTGAGCTCATGCAGGGACCGGACATGGCCAATAACCTCTGCGGCATCTTGACTCGATTCCGTAAGCTCCCGGTGGCTCTCACTTGTGACATCAGAGGGATGTTTAACCAAGTGAAAGTGAACCAAGAACATCGAAACCTGCTACGCTTTCTGTGGTGGAAGGATGGAAACCTGCAGGAAGAACCGACAGAGTTCAGAATGACTACGCATCTGTTCGGGGCAACATCATCCCCGTCTTGTGCGATGTTCGCGCTGAATAAGACAGCTGAGCTCTATGAAGAAGAGTGTGGCCCAGAAGCTGCAGCCTTCGTGCGCCACGATTTCTATGTGGACGACGGATTGATATCAACTCCGGACAAGACGTCGGCGTGTGACCTGGCTGAAAGCGCAACAATTTTGTGTTCCAAAGGTGGTTTCCAGTTGCACCAATTCACCTCGAACGAGCCGGATGTCATCGCCAGCATCCCCGAAGAAAATCGATCGAAGAATCTTCAGAACAAGGACGTCGTGGACGAGTACAAACCAGTGGAACAGGCTCTTGGACTTTCATGGAACATTCAAGATGACACGCTCCTTTTGACAGGAGACCTGCCCGACAAACCAGTGACTCGACGAGGGATTTTGTCTACCGTCAGTTCCCTATACGACCCCCTGGGGTTGGTGTGTCCCTTCACGTTGCAGGGAAAGCAGATACTGAAGCGACTCTGTTGTGATGGCGGTGGATGGGATGAGCCGGTACATGAAGAGTGCTGGCTTGATTGGAAAGCAGACCTGGCTACACTCTCCAATTTTGCAGTGCCCAGGTGCTACGTTCCATCCTCATGTCTGGTGGAGTCCTACGAGCTGCACAACTTCTCAGACGCCAGCCTAGAGGGGCTCGGGGCCTGCAGCTATCTGCGAATGAAGACTACCGATGGACAGCTCTATTCGTCACTGGTGCTGGGGAAAGCCAGAGTAACGCCGAAACGCGTGACGACTGTTCCAAGGTTGGAGCTGGCAGCGGCACTTCTTTCGACAAAAACCAGCCAGTTCCTGAAGCAAGAGCTGAATATTCCGAACCTGAGAGAATACTTCTGGTGTGACAGCAAGGTAGTATTGGGTTATATCGGAAACGAAGACAAACGTTTCCACGTATTCGTGGCGAATCGTGTACAGCAAATTCGCCAGTACACATCACCTGATCAGTGGGGATTCGTATCCTCTGAAGTCAATCCAGCTGACTACGCTTCCCGCGGCCAGAGGGCTTCTGACCTGAAGAAGAACGACATCTGGTGGAAGGGACCCGAGTTCCTTAGGAAACAGGACGAGGAGAGGACGCCTAGTACGTTTGAAGTCCCTGATGACGACCCAGAGGTAAAGAAGATGACGACGCTTGCAACTGCTGCTTCCGTTGCACAACAGTTTGCGAGTCTGAGGGAGCGGCTGCTGTACTTCTCTGATTGGTTCAGAGCTCGTAGAGCTGTTGCCCTCTGCATCAAGTTTGTGAGACGTCTCCGACATCGGATCAAATCGAAGACGACGAAGCCAGAAGGAGATGAACCCGAGGAAGGCTTGTGTGCTGAAGATCTGCTGAACGCAGAAAAGTTGATCCTTCGACAGGTCCAGAAAGAAGACTTCAATGAGGACGTGGCTGCCCTTTCATCTGATGGAGAGCGATCTGGTGACCCCAGAAGAAAGAGAACCGTTGGCAGCCTGCGAGGACTAGATCCTTTTGTGGATCAGGATGGGCTACTTCGAGTAGGAGGACGTGCTCGAAAGAGCAGCTTATCAATGGAGCTAGCTCACCCGATCATACTACCGAAACGAGGACACATTACAGACCTGATTGTTCGTAAGTGTCATGAACGAACGCACCACAGTGGAAGAGAGATGACTTTGAATGAAGTCAGACAAAGAGGTTTCTGGATCGTGCAGGGAAGATCGGCAGTTGTGAGGATCATCCTCAGCTGCGTGAAGTGCAAGAGGTTACGTGGAAATCCCTGCACTCAGAAGATGGGAGACCTGCCTATGGAGCGTTTGGAGGCGACGGAACCTTTTGAAAACAGTGGAGTGGATGCGTTTGGCCCATTCTTCGTAAAGGAGCGAAGAAGCGAAGTCAAACGGTGGATACTGCTCTTCACTTGCCTGAGTTGTCGTGGGATCCACCTGGAAACTGTCAACAGCATGACAGCAGACGCCTTTCTGAACGCATATAGACGATTTGTGTGTCGCCGTGGCCCTGTGAGAAAGCTGTTCTGTGATAACGGCACAAACTTCATTGGCGGCAAAAGCACATTGGAAGCAGCCATGATGGAGATGGAGAAGGGGAAGATCAGGCGAGAGCTGCTGAAGGATCAATGTGATTTCGTTGAGTTTTCCTTCAACGTCCCGTACGCGAGCCACATGGGCGGCTCATGGGAAAGGCTCATCAGGTCGACAAGAACAGCATTGACTAGTATCCTGGACGGACACAGTCATCATCTGGACGACGAGCTGTTCCGGACGTTTGTCGCGGAAGCCGAGAACGTCGTCAATAGTCGGCCCATTCCTGTTTGTAGCATGACTAACACTGATAGCGTAGAACCTATCACTCCAGCACAGCTACTCACATGTAAATCCAAGGTCCTTCTTCCTCCACCTGGTGTCTTCTGCCGTGAAGACGTCTACGCCCGACGAAGATGGCGGCGCGTACAACATCTGGCGGACGTATTCTGGTCGCGATGGCAGCACGAGTACGTCCCCACTATGCAGGAGCGACGGAGATGGATCGACAAGGAGCCTAACATGAAGGTCGACGACCTCGTCGCCGTGGCCGATGACAGTCTTCCGCGCTCTCAGTGGCATCTGGGACGTATAGTGACCACGTACCCGAGTGCGGATGACTTGGTGCGTAAGGTGCGAGTGCGGATCGGCGCAGCCGAATACGACAGGCCAGTGCATCGTCTGGTCATGATCATGAGGGCGCACGACGGAGATTCCCGGTCGGGGAGCCTCTGAACGCTTAGTGAGCGGACGACGAACTAGAGGTGCTTGGCGTAGGATTAGCGGTCCACATGCCGTAAAAGGGCAGCAGTGAGAAGTGTAAGATGCATTGAGACCGTAGTCTGTAAGGACTTGATCCTTGGAACAACTTCTGTTTCATGGTCACATGCTTGTTCGTGTAATCGACGTATCTGTTAGTGTTATCCGAAGAGAAAATTCTGTTGAATTTTGGGGAGCCATGTTCCCGCTGGCATCAATTTACTGCAGTGGTTTAGGTGACAACCAGCGTGGCCCGCGTGGGCCCTGTTTTTTGCCGCATCTGCGCAAGAAATGTTATTGTTTTGAACGAAAAGCGAGCCGAGGGACATGGGACGGAGTGAGTAATGTATTTTCTTTAATATTTTGGTATGTATGCTTTTGTTTATGATTAGATGATATTTTTGCCTAAGTTTGTCATGTTGAAGTGCGAACAAAAACATTCTAGTCAGATATTATAGTCAGTTATCAGTTGGTTGCGAATGTGGCGCAGGAATGTTGAGGAAACGAGGGTTATAATACCGTGTTGTGTCTTTTCAGTTTTTTACGTGGCATTGCGGAACTGGATGAATATACTGAATGAAAAGGAAAACTGATGTCCTATCCACATGCTGCTACACTGTACATTCCCTCTTTTAGACTACCTGACCTCGCTGATACAATGTCTGCCGGACTGGCCTGACCTCTTACCTTTTGTCTCTTATACTGACCTGACCTCGGCTTCCGTCTCCGACAGTGACCTGACCTGTAGCCTACTATCTCAGACACTGATCTGACTGCTAAACCGCTGTCTCTAAACTGCACCAGCAGCGCCTGTAAGTACCTGCTCGGCGTCTCCGACAGCGACCCGGCCACAGCTCTCGGCTCTGACACTGACCTGACCTCTCTACCACTCCCTCCGACACTGACCTGACTGCTGACCCGCTGTCTCAGCGCCAGCAGCGCCTGCCTCTGCTCGGCTCCCGTCTCCGATAGCCTGCACGTGCTGTGTTGCGCGTGCAGGATATCGGTGCAGCTGGCGCACACGGCCGTCTCACAGTCTCGGCAGAAGAAGCGCAGCGTTTGACCTGTCGGACACAGACCGGGGTTCTGTCAGGTGGCAGGGTTGGTTGGGTTAGCATACGATTGCATCATGAGCTGAAGACTTGGCATGTTGCGATGGAAATATCTTCAAGGCAGTCGGAGCAAGGGTATCGACAGTTAAAATTACGATGCCCTGTTATTGATCATCAAAGTTTTAGATGCAGCCAAAGGCACAATACTTTTATGCCAAGAATGTGTTGCTTTTTGCATAAAAACACTGCATAAACAGTAAACACTAAAGAGACGAGCTGGACAAATTATTTGCACCGTAAAACTGTACAATACAATTATATCGAAGAACAAAAGCCACCCTATTCCCAGACCCCAGCGCATTTATCTCTCATAACACTAAAAAGATTGCAGAGCGCCGTTCTTTGTTCCCTTTGTCATACCGGAACAGAGCAAAACAAAGGCGGCACTGTGTCTGTTCGCGGTGAGAACCCTAGAGGATACCGCACACGTAAAAACGCCCCATTCAGCGCCGGGCAGCGTCCGTCGCGTCGTGACGGTTCCGTGCCGTCTCGTGACGGGCCGTCACAGCGCGCAGGCTGGGTGACCCCGCCCCGACCGACCGTCCGGCGCCGAGCAGGGCTAGACGAAGCGACCTGCCGACGCCGACCACTGGACCCGATATCTATCGACCGACCGACCGACCGACCGACCGACTGGGCGACCGAGCGGGAGGGGAGGGGAGTCAGTACGACTGTCGTACGGCCGCGCGCTGCCTGCGTGTCACTAATGGACATGACGACCGACGGATCCGCGAACCGATTGACCAACGGTCTGTCGCATCGACGAACCGACAGACTAGCAGACCGACGAATCGGCGTCGTGGCCGACGGGTCGACCGACGGAAGGAACAGGGAAACGACAGACCGACGGATCCGCGAACCGATTGACCAACGGAACAAGGACCGACGGACCGACAGTCCGACCGACGGGTCCACGCAGCGACAGCAGCGACGGCGACGGGCTACCGGGAAACATTAGTAATCGAACGGGTGTTCGTGACCTGGAAGCACGCAACAGTCAGCAACAAAGAGCGTGAATCAAGCTCCAGCTCGCTCCTCACCAGCATGATTAGAGCAGTAGAGCTGCCAGTCGGCACCTCGCTGTCGTCCGGAGGAGTCCTGAGTGACATCCGACTCCGACTCACTGCCAGAGTCAGAGTCGGAGTCGCTGCTCTCCTTCGCCGGGTCCCGTGACTCCTGAGGAACGGGGGCACAGTGAGAGCGTATAATGAAGTCATAAGGCACACGTCCAGATAGCAGCATAGCAAGCGTGGGTCAGATGTCAGCATGACGAATACATCAGCGCAATCAGTTCGTGACCGGATATCGCAGAAGGAGCCGCGGTGCCTCCTTCGGAGAAAATGTTCGGAATCCATCCGGATAGCATTGTTTGCAGAGAGGCCTGTCGGTATCTCGGCGGTGTTTGCATAGCCTGTCACCCGCCATTGACACGTGCCGACGGTGATCAGACGGGCTATCGTCGGCTCGCCGAAACGGTGCCGAAATCAAGCCACGTGTCGATTCGATTCGCGCACAGCTGAGCTTACAAACAGTTCTGACTACCAAACGTTATGCAAATCAAGGCAGCATGTTGCGCCTAAGTTGCAGCGTGTAGCTACACAAACAAATTATCGAGTGATACATCGGATTTCTGAGAAGTTATGTGAGGGGTCTGGTGTTTATATTATATCCACAACGGGGTCGCCATGACAAATATGACGTGTATGGTAACATACATCGCCTGGTCTAAACATCGAAGTACCATGTGCAGCAAGACGACGCACACCGATATAGTTCGACAAAGCCGTTCAGACTAACCGACTGCAACAAACGAAACACGAACAAGATTATACCAAGCAAGGACACCTTCGGTACCCGTGCGTACTGCGTACCTCAGCAGCCACCGCCACGCAGGTGGGACAGGTACCGGTACCGGCGCAGGCGGTACACGAGTCCGGTTCCACGGCCAGCAGGCGGTTCGTCTGGAGACCCGATACCTGGTGGAGAAAGAAGGTGGTTACTTGTCAGTCAGTGGACATCAGGGTGTTCGATATACGGCTGAGGTCAGAGGCGTGCATTCGCCGCGGTTGGTCAATGGTTTCATTATATACGAAAATGCATGCGAAAATGCAGCTTAGCAAAGTCCAAAAATCTATAGACGATTTAACGGGACGGCCAGGACCGAACAGGACCCATTCCCAAATGTAAGATTTTGTTTATCATAAGGGATGACTTAGTGAGCCAGCCGCAAACTTAATATGTGAGCATGTTTATTTACAAGAAAATATGATATCGCTCATCATATGCCGTGTCTAACGAAGTCGAAATGTTCAAATGCAGGCGACGTAGGCTCCTCCATTTATCCTGAGCCTAAGTTCTTTAACCCTCGCCGGCCGAGGGGGGGGGGCGGGTGCCGCCCCCCCCCCATAGGGTTTTTTCGCGATAGCTCCGAACACGCTGGCGATAGAGAGCTGAAACTTGGCATACCTGACCTTTGATCCAAGCCCGATCTTTTGACACCAACCGCATTTTTGGGTCAGGTCAGGTCACTGACCTATGACGTCATAAGTGAACCTCTGCACGGTCTTCAGATGTCGCAACTTCGCAACGCCCTCACTGCCAGAGGAGATGTCACAGGGAAATGAAACTTGCAGGATCTAGTATCCATTATGAGTCCCACAACTTGTATATCTCGGATTTTTCCTAAAGGTCATATGAGGTCAGGTCATTTTCGTGACCTCACCATTAAAAGTCAATGGGGAAAAATAAAAACTGCTATTCTGGCGCCGGGAACGATCTCTAACTATCTCAAGCACAGAGAATCGTGATTTGGTGCACTCCTTGCAAGGTTAGATGCGTCACTTTTGCAATGTTGACCTTGCGTGACGTCATTTATGACGTCATCAAGGTCATATTAGTTTTTCGTCAATAACTCTTGATGAAATTGAGCTAGCGAGTCGGGAAAGCCACCAATGGACTCAGGAAGGCCTGCCGAATCGAATGATATGCGACATGACCTCTTTCGACCAACTTCGTGACCTGGGGGTGCTGACCTGACCTTGACCTGAGGTCAACACCCCAAGTTGACCTGACCCGGACAAAAAGTATATCATTCGACGCGCCTGAGCGAGGCGAACACGATGCTGCCAAAATCAGCGCTCTGCGGCCGTTTTTTGCGAAGTTATTCACCAAAAACTGAACCGTACCTTGGGGCACTTGACCTGACCTCAGAGGTCACCGGTTGACCTAGGACCTTAAAATCGGGTACCAATCTCTGCGTCTCGTAACGGCACACACGCTCGTTTTTTCCGCGACGCGCTAGCTCCACCAGGGGCGAAACGACGAGGGGGTCGTACCCGCCCCCCCCCCCCCCTCGGCCGGCGCGTATGTAGAAAACCAATAGGTCCGGCGAGGGTTAATTGGTACATTAATTAGCCGAGGTTTATTTGTCCACGCTGGATCGTCTCTCAACTGTGTTTGCATAAATCATTTCAAAAAACTTACATAGCCAGATACGTGTCGTCATATGTTGCGCACAGGCTGGACGCAAACAGGATTAAGCTACGTGTATGCTGTGCCAAAGACACCTGTATCCGGCATACAGGGGTCTATGGCTGTGCGATATACACTGTAACTACACCATTGTTGGTCCATGATGCTGTGCCGCAATACACATCAGTGAGTGAGCCAACGCTTCACGGATAATTTGAGCCCTGGGGCAGATCTGGAAACCGCAAACACAAATGACGTCTAACATAGGCGGTCCCAGGGGGGGGGGCCACGGGGGCCATGCCCCCCCCCCCCTTTGGTGCTGAAAGGTGGGGCCATACTATCTTTTGGCCCCACCTTTTCAGATCGAACAAAAGTCCTACAAAAACTTTTTGTACGTTTCATTTTCTTGTTTAATGAAAGGTCTTTCTTGCACCAGCAAAGGAAGTAAATTTCACTCATGAATGGGCTCAGTTTCACATTCCGTCAATTTGGCGGTCAGTGTCGCTGGCACCGGTTCACAAGTATGGCCGGATGTGAGATATAGGTATTAGGTACTCTAACTTATGTGGAATATCGGCGTGGGTTTACTTGAGGCTCTCATAACCACAGCATTGGCTGGCATGAGATCCTCCTGCCAAATGAGCGTGGTTCTACGACACTTAAGTATGACCTCATGGGTTGGTGCTGTGCGGAGGTGGGGGGCATCAGGGCCATCCCCCCAAAGGCAAGTAAGGGGGCATCATATCATTTCCCCCTCCCAAACAACCGTTGGGCCCCCATGAGCGTATGGGGCCCTGGCCGTTATCCGATTGTGACGAGGCTCAAGAAACCCACGCCCAGCTGTTACCTAATAGCTCCCACACCGGTCTTTGAGCGTCCTACACTGAACTCTGAGGGCCCTTCAGTGGTGGTCAAGTGCCCACATTGACCGCTAAGAGCCCAGATCGACCTCTGATGGCCCTCGGCCACTGGCCTCTCAGGGCCCCTAAACCGGTATCAGGGGCCCCAACCGGCGTCTGAGGGCCTCACACCGGTCTCTGGTGGCCTTATCTCTGTATCTGGGGTCCCAAAACTAACCTTTAGGCGCCTATGAGGGCCCGCACTGGCTGTTGAAGACCCGATGCCGGCCTCTAAGGGCCCGTACCGGCCTCTGATGGCCCATCTTGGCCTTTGAGGGCCCTTTACTGGCCTCTGGGTCCAACGCCGGCCCATGCCGGTCTTTTAAGAGCATACGCTGACCTCTGAGGGCCCCATGTCGGCCTTAAGGACCCACATTAGCCTCTGAGGGCCCAACTCGGTCTCTGATGGTCTCAACCTACTGGCCTTTGCAGGCCCTGTACTAGTCTCTGAGGGCCTTAAACTGGCCTCAAGTGAAAACATACAGGGGTGGACTTCTGAAGTTCTGAGGACTCACGCAAACTCCTGCAGAGCCTAACGTGTCCCGATGGTTCCGCGCAGATTCCCTCATATTTCGGCGCCGGGGCCCCCATGAGCTGGTGTGGGTCCTTGGCTGACAGAGACCGATGAAGTATCCAGGGCCCAGGGACAGTCTTTTTGGCAGTTGAGGATTAGGCAGGTTGAGTGAGCCCCAATAGAGCCGTTGCAAAGCCCCGCATGAGTCTGCGCGCGGCCCTCAGATGCCAAATTTGAAAGTCAGGAACCTGTGGGGGGTCTCTAGAGGTCGGTGTACCTACTCTCTCCCGCAGCCACACAACTATGTCATGGGTAAATGCCATAGTCTAAAAATGCTCTCTTGGTTTTATATGCTGCACCTATCTGTCGCCACGGTGCGGCGGCCCGACCGGTGAACACACCGTGGGACGGTAAATGGAAGTGTTTATTTTGGTTAAACTAAGTACAAAAATTGTACGCAAGAATGAGATGGATGTAGCATAAGAAATGCCAACTGCGCGGCACTTTGTGGCGTCGACTTTGCTACACAACGTAAAAAGTTAGCCGATCACCCCCCCCCCCGGTTGACGGATAAATGTTATGTTCCGCGGGTTTGACTTTGCCCCCCCCCCCTTTGGCTAACGGCTGCGACCGCCAGTGACGTCTAATGTCCGTTTGGATTGGCGTCTCACTCCAGTTCACATGGGACCAATTAACCCGCAGATCAGCGCCGTGTCGGGGAAACTGATTGACCCCGACAAGCAAGGTCGACCTGGAGAGCCCAGTTTGCAATGAGGGCGCTGCATAAACAGACAGCCCTAATTCGTACCAGCCGGTCCGGCAGCCCAACCACCACCGACGTCCGCGAAAACACGCACCGAGGGCGCCACACAGGCCTCACTCGACGTCCCGGCCCTGAGAGTCTGACTCTGAGCGATGACGGTAGAGCAGTGACTCACCCGGTCCGGCACCCTCAGCCAGATGAGAGGAGCACGCCACCCGCACCCACTCGGTCAGCCAGACTCCCCTGCACGCGGCGCGTCAAAACAAACTCACGACACTCGGCGTGAGCTGGTGGACCGCAGTCGGGGGTCCTGTCCTGGTCAACAGGACAGAGAGCAGTGAGCAACTCAATCGTATAGTGGCCGCCAGTCGTGGTCGAAAGGCTGATGCTAAAGTGACCAATCCCGCCGCCTCACCGGCGCCTAGCCGACGGTGGTGGCAGTGGCGGCAGCCTACCCCGCCCCTTGACCTCTGCAGTCTGCATTGTAGGTCATCTCGAGTGCTGCTCCTCGAACCGTCACCCACAGACGAGTGGGGGCGACCCCCCACTGACGTGTCCCTATGACCAGCGTACCGACAGCGTTCCGGCAATGTGATCCGCAGTGGCGTCACCGCCATCTGTTCTGCCGAGCTCCAGACCACCGGAACAACCGACAATTGACGTCCATTGCTACACGTCACGAGCCCCCTTCCCGTCCGATGCCCGGCCGCCTTTCCGCCCCTCCCCCGCCCCGCCCCATCCCTCGCCCTGTGACCTCTGGGGTCAGAAGGTCGCAGTGACAGTGGACATGCCGCCAGACCGGTGACGGTGACGGTGACCTTCTGAACTGGTGGTGACAGGGGGACGCGACAGTGCCCGTGAGGTGAAACACAGAGCGGAACGACATGGACACGGTTCTTAGAAAGAAACAAATGGGAAACGGTAGGCGAGGCTGAGTTTATTTCACATGGCATTGGGTGAATTTCCGTAGCATGCAGGAAGCACGTCGGGCGTGTTTTGGCAGATTGTTTTAGCGAACCGTCTTTTATCAACAACACTGCGATCCACACCGTGTCTTTCGAGTTCCAACGCCGCGACTGCATAAACCAAGGTCGTATCGCTTCCCGCGGTGAGGGCTGTGGCCGGGCCTGTCTGTTTCCGAGAGTCCTAATGAACAAAATGATGACGGAAGCGCCTGTGGCCATTGTCAGTGCGTGACAAGGACAACCAACAAACGCACGGTCATTGGTGCTGACACGCAACGTCCCACCCCATAAGTCCTATAGCGACCTTCGGTGTTGAAGAGCCCAATTGGCCCGTATTAACACTGTCTGATCAAGAGAAAAGACTTACATCTCCTCTAGTAGTCAGAGCAACAACAGACACAAAGCCAAACACGCCTGACGGGCAGTACATCAAGAAAATCACAGTGGCGAGCTGCTTTGTTAGATATCGTTCAAGGCTCAACAGCTTTCTTGGATGGAATACGAAAAGAAAGCGCATTGTTAAGTAAAGCGGGCGATTCGCGAGTAAACCAATTGATAGAAGTTGAGCAATCATTTGACGTTTGTATATTCACTATAAACTTCATTCATTATCACTTCGCCCGAGCCGCACACCACCGCACCATGCGGACATGTGTATGTGCGTAAGGCGCAATATTGTAATGTCTTGCGGGACAGCCTAACTTCAGGCGTTGATCACTGGTGCCATCTAGCGGCAGGAATATAATTACACCACTAAAAATCAATGTTAGAAAAGCGGGAAAACTGACTGAGACCCTCGTGGCCGTAGCCAAATATCCGTGTATATTAATCATATGAAACAAATGTGCTGGCATATGAAATGTGCTGGTGTCGTCATTAATATAAAGAAAAGAACGTTGATGGCGATCGGATCAGAATAAATTGTTCGGATGCTAGGGATTCTATTCGGTGACATGAAAACAGCAGATAAGCAGATCCCTTTTTGCCCTTATCTAATCAACCTCCAACCCAAAGTCACGCCCTCTCGGCTCTCAATCAACTCTCAAAGAACATGACCATCACGCGGCCTTCTATATAGCGCTACCGGCCGCGGTTGCCGCCGCTGCGACGCGTTCGCCGCGTGATGCATCGTTCGCAGACGGCAGCGCACTTCGTATTCGTCGCGCCGTAGTCCCAGCGAGAGGCCCGGACCATGCCGGGCTGAATTCGGGCCTTTTATAGCTGCACGGAGCCGAGCCGAGCTGGGCCACGCCGAGCGGCGGCGGGCCGCGCTGGGTTGCGCCAGGGGCGGTGAAGGAGCGAGGTGCTGCTGATGGCAGCAGTAGCGGAGGACGGCGGCGGTGCCAGACCCCGAGGGACGCCGCCGACGGTCAGCGACGCGAATATGGTTGAGGAATGTGGTCTGCACCGGCCCTTAGGGCAGGTCGCGCGCGGCCAGCATATGTAAAAGGATTGGTACGCATGGAAGAATTAAGAAGATTAATGCCTACGCGGGTATAAGAATTATATGCGCGAGGTAGCACGCAGTCCGGGGCTCGTCGAGCATGTTTAATTTGGCACTGTAGAGTCGGAGTAACAGGCTGCTGCAATTTTAGCGCACGTTGCATCAGTGAGAAGAGTCTGAGCCGAGTGACGTGGTAATGCGCTTGACAAATAGACGCGCTGTCGGTCTATTCGCCGTAGCCAGATGACCATCTCTCAATGAGTTGTAGACTGCTACTGCGCCCGCCGCCGGAGCTGTTCGTATTCAAATGAGCCATCTTATGGCTATCGCTGTAGCTTCTAAGCAACGGCGTGTCGAAGATATCAATGTCACAACGGTGAAACGACTTCGAATGGAGGACGAGGACGATCGCATTGTGAACGCATATTGCTTTATGGAAAAGGCATCTTGTGTAGGCCACTTCGATTGATATTCCATCTCGAACAAGGCGCGACTGGCAATCCACTGAGGTTAGTGACTCCTTGCCGACACCTCCCAGGTCGCTATCGCTGTATCTCGTGCACGTTGCACCTCCCGCTGCACCACGCGCTTGATGTGCGTAGTGCGTACCGCGCGTCATTCAGAGCGTGCCGTAGAGGAGACGGCGACAGAGACGGGTGACGTGTGTATGTGTGGGACGGTACCGCATGCCGAGACCCGGTCCAAGTTAGACGGATGGCCTCCGCGCCGCGCTGGTATATGGGTACTGACCGTCAGTCCATGGGCGCGCAGCGAGCGCTGAGCTGGGATCAGCGCCAGTCCCGATTGATGCATGAGGCATGGGGACAAAGGAGGCCGACCAGCGGGATCCAGCTGGGGTCCGGCTCGGATCCGGCGGGGGTCGAGTCTGGGTGCACGCTGAGGTCACTCACCTGCCCCCCGCTGGCTGTATCCACAGGTGGGACAGAGGTCATCGCGGGTCACACCGCCAGACCGCTCGAGTCACACAGTCACACAATCACTCGGTCTTCGTCAGTGTCCCACTCTGTCAGCCGGCGACAGGCCGCGACTGGCCCGGTGTGTGGCCCAGCGGCCACTGCGGACCCTCCACGTCAGTGACAGAGCCGGGGACTGTCACAGCACACCGCCCCCGCGCCCTGACTGCAGTGTAATGTCACCAGCAGCGGCGGCCGAACTGTGGCGTCAGACAGAGCCCCGACGCCCTGTTCCCCCGCGGCGACCGACCGGCGTCGGCTCGCTTGGAAGCGTCCGCGCCGCGCGATAGGCTCTGTATACACGGACCAGGAAGGCCGTTTCCAGCAATCGCTGGTCGTGCCGCTACATTGGACAAGAGGCGGCCGAGGCAGTCCAACCGCGAAGGCGGAGCTCTGATTTCTACGGTGTTATCAAGCAGTTTGTGCTGTGTGATACCAGGGTTAACACCCAATGGTGACGAACTCTGAATCACAAACATCGTGGGCCCTGAAGTCTCTGCTGCAGTCATTTTACGAGATATCTGGATGCTGCGAAGATCAAAGATTGCTGCGAGTTTCGGAACCTTTTATTTATCAGTGGAGTGTATAGATTCTTAGATTGGCTGCAAAGTCGTCTATTTTTGGCTCAGTGCATTGGTGAGAAGTTGCACGGTCGATTAGGTCCATTCCCACCTACGGCTAAGGCCCCAACAATAAATCATGACACCTAACCAAACTAAAAATAACCTAGCCTTGAAATAATAGCTATCCCATCCGTTATGTAATAATCACAGACAAAGGATTTGCATTACTTATGCTGGTTGTCAATCATCGCTCCTTTCGAGGTGAGGAGCGAAGCAGGCCTTACGATGAGATCCGCCGAATATTCCACGCTCCACACCGTTATGGGGCGTGTACGAAATGGAACATGCGAGGCGCATCTGTCTGATGAATTGGCATGCATTTGCATCCTCACCTCACAGTAATTAAATTACGAGGCAGAAATTGCCGACGCATGCACCCATGAAGGCATGCACGTTGCACGCCCTTAATGTAATGGTGGTCAGCGATCACCTTTAATAATAACGTCGTTTGTTCCTCGCCCATCGCTAGCATGAGTACCTACTTTTAAGGCCCATCTTATCTCCCTTGCACTTATATTCTCCCCGATGGCCGATGGGTATCTTCTCTTATACTTACTTCACCCACCCTAACGTTTGATGATTTTTTTCACTGTCCATTCATGCACGCTTCCTTCTCTCCTCTCACATCTTATGTCGCTCTCAACTACCTCTCGCCAGTCTCTGCACCCTATCTCCCCCGGTACAAACCTACCCTTCTTATCTTCTTCTCACCCGTCTCACCCTATCTCCCCCGGTACACACCTACCCTTCTTACCTTCTTCTCCCCCGTCTCACCCTATCTTCCCCGGTACTCACCCCGGCCGGCGGGAGGATCGAGTGGCACTTGCAGCTGGGGCACGAGACCGACAGGCTCTCCGGGGGCACGTGGCGGCGCAGGCAGTGCTGGCAGAATGTGTGCAGACACGGCAGGATCTGTGGCAGAGAGATACAGTGGTTAGAGGTCTGGTCACACCAGATCAGCTGACTGCTGAGGGAGGCATAGCAGTCACATTGCACCGTCTCAACTCTCAGCTGACGAATGTTATTTACCCTCTCACATCTCTGATCTCAATTCACTTACTCAGCTCGTCAAGACTTGCCTTGCAGGATATTAACAATATCATCAACGTTGCCTTCATCGATTTTTCTGACCAATAGATAACGTTGCGACGCTAACGGTGTTATGGTGACGGTTGGGGACGGGGGCGGGACGGCGTCGGAGCGGGGCGGGCGAGCGGTTGGCGGTAGCAAAACAAAACCATTAGCTAGAACAGCACGCCGGGCGAGAGGCGAAGAGGAACCGGTCGTTTCGCTCATCATTCCTCTCTCCGTCATCACTTCCGTGACGCTCCCTCCGGTGTCAGGAGGGGCCCTCTAGGCCCTCCCGGCACGACAGCATTCGCGACGCCAGGTAGGTATGCTACATATATCTTCTCAGCGTCGCTCACGGAGGTCACATCACATTCATTCACCCTATAGCATCCATCACATGAGCATCCATCACAGAAGTGCTATGTAAGACAGCTATTTCCAGCTAAGTGTGCACACTGCATCGTGCAGTAGCGTATAAAATTGTGCATGCATTCGGTCCGATGAAGCCATTGAGTTTCAGAAAGTTCACACCGTCACAAAACGGTTGTCATCAGCCGTGTTCACCCACCTCCACGATTCCCAGCCACCTACCTCTGAATATCATCCACCGCGCATTTCACGCACGTAACCTTCTATCAGACTCCCGTTCTGACCGAAAATCGCCGTGCTCGTCCGTGCCCACAAAACCACGGTATCATCGCCATAAATTGTTGAGTTTCTCACCGACTTCCGGCGGCGTTTCAGCAACTGTCGGCTGTGCAAAAACCCGTCTCGTCGGCTGGCCACCAGATTAATTCTCGCCGGCCATGTCCGGTGCGCTCCGTGCGAAACCCGGCCGTAAACCTAACGTGCGGCACCGCTCGGCCGGCAGCGCGGCCTGCGACGTGCCGACACGGGCCCGTGGCGCCGGCGGTCGGCCGTGAAGGCACGCGGCGCCGACAGCGGCGGCCCGGGCGGCGCGTCCGGCCTTGCCCGCAGGCCGGGCCGGGCTGCAGCCGCGCTGCAGGCGCCTGGCAGCTGCCGCAGCCGCCCGAGACGTGCACGCCGGCCGATGACCCGAGTCAGAGTCAGAGTCACAGTGGGAGTCGCACGGGGATGACCAGGCCGAATGGACCCGGAAAGTACCGAGTATGGAGCAGTTGGGGCGGCGGCTGGCCTCGAAACCAAACTAGGCGGCGATGGAGGGCGGCGAATGCAGTGTGGTGCTGACGGGCTATGCGATGGACTAGACTGCGAGTTAGACTGACCAGAAAGGGTGGGGCGATGTTTTGGACGGTAGGACGAGCAGGAGTGAGTCGTGGACTAAGAAAGGGCGGACAGAATCGGTGTTGAACCTGCTCAGGACGGGCGTCAGGTGGGACGAAGTGCTGATTTGGACCAGGGAAGCCCGGGTGGGCGGGACCGAGGGCTGAACGGGGACAGGGCGGATGGCGTCCGAGCAGAGGCGGCAATCGTTTAGACCATATACCGACCACAATGGCCGACAATTAGCGGTCGGTGCCGGACGGAGGCCTTCACCGGAAACGTCCCGGGCCGGCGGGTAGGTAAAAGTCCCGCTCCGGGCCACGGGCCGGCGGGCCGTCACCCGTGCAACGGCCGGCCTGGCGGCTCCGCCGGCGGCGACGGAGGGAGGGAGCGGGGTGGACGACGCGGGGAGGGAGAGGTGGGCTGGCTATGAGAGGAAGGTGGGCTGGCTGTGGAAGAAGTGTCTATGGAAGGGAGAGGTGGGCTGACGACGCGAGGGAGCTGGGCTGATGCGGAGGAGGGAGAGGTGGGTTGACTATGGGAGGGAAGGAAAGGTCAGCTGACTGTGGGAGGGAGGGAGAGGTGGGCAGAGGAGCTGACGAACGAAGGCGATCTAGGCTGGAGGGAAGTAAGAAGCTTAGGATGACTCATGTGGTCACTGGTCAGACTTAAGCGGCCATACGTCTTCACAAAGAGTGATGACGTTTGCTCGGGATCTAATCGCGACGATGCTGGAAGAGACGCCGGCAGCTCTGACAGAAGAGGGGAGCGATGAGCACGGATAGGCTGTGATGGGAGAGCTCTCAGCAGGATTACCAGCTGAAGAGCACGCGCGTTTCCAACAGCAGAGCCACAGTTTGTGGGTCAATGCCGTCTCTGTCTTTTAAAAGACAGAGACGAGCCTGCTGAGCATTGGTCCGATGCCGTGCAGAGAGCACCAAATAGCAAAAACAGTCCGACAGTTCTGTGCCTTCGACCAGCTGGTGATAACATTCTTTGTTTTGATAGAAGTCATGTCCATCCACTCATTGGTTGGTGCAATTGGAATTTGGATCTATTTTCCCAAATTCCTGGCTCAAAAAGTTATTCACCCTTCCGTCACACGAAATTTACGTCACAAGAATTTTTCTTTTTATAATGAGCCAGTAAGCCACCGAATTATACTAATAACGGGATAATTGCAAGAACGACATGCATTGTGCACCGCAGGCATTATCTGCCACGTGAGAGAAATCGGAGCGACAATACAATCCCCGGATTCACGACACGACAAATCTCCGGTCCCGCCCATCCCCAGCCGGCAGCGGGGCGGCACAATCTCACCCCAAGCAGAGCGCTGCACAGCATTCGCTGCATGCACGGTGCATAGTGCACATTGCACGGCGCGGCGCGTCTGTGCAGGTGTGGCCGGCGCCCCCGTTCCCAGCGAGCCGCCTGTCTGTCGCGACTGGCAGATAGTGGTCCGCTGACGGCGACACGAGCCACGACGGCAGGCCGGGGGAGGAGCATTTGGTCATCAAACAACACTCCACCCGACCCCAGTCCTGCAGCTCAGGCGCAGTCGTGCTGGGATTTCTGTATATTGTAAAGCGCAGTTCAGTCCCCAAAATAACGAATGGTCGAGAAGTATGACAGCAACGGTTCAGGAAATGGTCTGAGAATATCGAACGGTTCAGAGCTTGGAAACGATAATCAAACGCAGAGAGTTTAACGTGAAGACGACGAAGACCTCGATGGTGCCAGCATAGTTCACATTCCATGCTGCTTTTAGAAATCCATAGGCATTGGTGTAAATAATTGGCGCAAAATTTGTGCACAGGTTTGTACGTACATAGACACGTCCATACATACATACGTACTTTCCGAGAGAGTACCTATGAATAAAAAAGTCCATGCCTTCCGTCCGCCTATTTGTCACGTTAATGTTCATGCTCACGTGCATTGTACAATTATCATAATTACCTAAATATGTAGGTATATATCAAATGGCTAAAGAATGCAAGGCATAGTATTCGCTATAGTATTCGCTTGTGTTCAATTTAAGTTGTTACGGGCAATTGCACATCGCGATGCGCCTTGCAAATCTTTTTCATGCATGCCCATGTCCCATATTCAGAACCGTCTCCATACTCGCGTTCACCCGTCGCTATACACGTACGAGTATGTCTGCATTATCGGAAGTGCCGTGCTGCATGTCAAAGTTTCCGACCCAGGTGTACAAAACACGTGCTTCTCCGTATTATAGGTATACCGTCAAATATAGGTACGGTGTTGCACTTCCGAGCGAACAGTCAGCTAGACACCGACTACACATGTCTGTGAGTATAGCTCCGCTGCACGGTTGGCAGAGCCGCGAGGAACGCGTATCGATCTGAGAGTCGGTCGCCCTGCACTAGGGATGGGACGGGGACAGGGTGTGGGGGTGGGGATGGGAGCGACAGGTCACAGCTGGGGCCTCCGCGACGACCGACAGCGACCGTCACACACGAGCGTTACATGGCCATCCCACGCAGACTTGTAAGCGATTCAACTCTGATTGAATCGATTCTCATGAATCGCTTGAAAATGCCGACTCACTGTGATTGAGTCGGTTGAATCACCTCTTGTCACCATATGAATCCTGATTGAATCGGTCACACATGGCAACTGCAAGTGATTGAATCGGCAACTCATCGATTCAAGTTGATTGAATTAACAAAATGATTCAATCACCATGTGCTGCAAATTGAAGTTATGACCATATTTAGTACTATATTATGTAGAAATATATGTGCTATTTGCATCATAGTCACACACAATGCACTGCAAATTTGTTAGGTATTTTGTCAGTATTATAAATGCGCACAGCTATCATAATTGAAAAACATAGAAATTTTGTTTCAAGTTTTTAATCAAACTGTAAACACAAAATTATACATAAATGTCAATACATGAAGATGAAAAAATGAATGTAAAGTTTCATTCCAGTGCCCTAAAATCAGTATAGTAATCAAGTTAACAGTAGCAGTAAGGAGGCGCACATTGCTCAACACACATGTTTATGATATCATGTTAATCTTTATATTTTCAATACCCTGTTTCAACAGGACATTTGTGAACAAGCAAAACATATTGATGAAAACACAATGCATGTTCACATCATAATTTGGTAACCTCAGTTACTGATTTGATTTTGGGCTAAGGGTCATAAATTGCTTGATCTAATCCATGGTCTTCTCACTCACTTTACCTACATTTCCCAGCAGAATCAGCGTTTACCTATCAACGTAAATATTGGAATACCTTGGCTTATGAGCATTGATGGATCTGTCACATATTGCCGTGGTGGCTCCCAATTACACAAAAGTAAAGATACAATGGCAAAAAGTAGATACATACCCTACTAGGTATTAAAAAAACAACCACCTTCCCATCACCTCCACCATCACCCAAAAACTATTGTTTTCATAGCTCAACAAACAATCTTTATCCGTTTGGTGTTCTTCACCTTCCAGTTTTGAGGACCGCTAACAGTTTTGCATTCGATGCTAAATTCGGATTAGAGATTTGTCAGACTGCTCGCAATATTTGCCACATGGAAACAACGCAAAATATGCTTTTATGTCGCAGCCGCGTCAATATACGCTGCAACCAGGGTATATTGAGTGAAGGGTAGGACGAACTTTGGTAGGAATTTCTAGTATATCTACTCGAAAACCTACTATATGTGGTCGGGACTAGCAAAAAGTTAGTTCAAACTAGAATATGGTAACGCTTATGGTTGGCAGTTGTGACGCGCACGTGACATTCATTTCTTAAATTTCTAAAATAACAGGTTTTAGGGGCCGATTAGTGGGCAGATACATTCAATTAGGTATTAATAATTGACCAGTATAGCGCCTTTTGGGGCGACTAACGGAGCGAGCGAGGGGGTGAGTCTTGCACGTGCGAAATTTCGAGGGGGTACCTCCAACTGACTTGTGCACGGCACCCTACTGACCGGTTTCTAGCGATGTGCCAAATTTGAGCACAATCGGCCCAGCCGTTCTCGAGATCTGGGAGCGGCACCCTGCACGTGCGCACGTGCAAAATGGATCCCAGCTGACTTGTGCACGGCACCCTACTAACTGGTCCCTAACCGTGTACCAAATTTGAGCGCAATCGGTCCAGCCGTTCTCGAGATCTGGAAACGACCCCTGCACGTGCGCACGTGCACTAGCACCCCAACTCTGGCACATGGATATGCAGTGCCTAGTGGGTGCCTATCTACATGCCAACTTTCAGCGCAATCGGCCAAGCAGTTACCGAGATATTGCAACAATTACAAAACTGACACCTCTTCGTTTTGCACGTGGCACGTGCATAAGGGGTCACCCACATGCATCGGGAATAGTCCAATACTTGGTAGAAGGAATGAAGCTACCCTACAAAAATTACCCCGTGTAAATCGGTCAAGTGGTTGCTGAGATATAAGCCTCGCAAAAGCGTCCGCACGGCCGGCCGCTCATACTCAGAAATTTCCGTTAATCTAAGGAAAGACTACGCTCGCTTCGCTCGCTCCGTAATTATGCAAACATTCAAGAATCTATATCATTCAATTCTAGCCAGAATCACGCTGCGCTCCCAGGATTCGAACTCACGACCCTCGGATCCGTATCCCGATACGCTACCGACTGCGCTACCGAGGGCCGCGCACCGATGATCGGAGAAGCGGATCGCGGGTGCTGGCGTGCAGAGAAATCTTTAACCTGTACGCCGTAGAAGATCGGCTGGGTTTCGTGAAAAATGGTAGAGGAATTGTCTAAAGAAAATTCATCGATCTATCATTTGAGACTAAGAACCATTGATTCCTTGAAAGGTCGACCGAGATATCGCTCGCTGAAAACAGGCCATTTAACATGTAAACCCTATGGGCTGGTAGGAAATGTACGCCGTGGAGCAGCAGTGCTACCAACTAACTTCGGCGGGGGCCGGCTGCAACTACCTAGTGCTGGGCTAAATACATATTGCCAAACCAATTTAGATTTTTACTGTTTGATATTTTTTCTTTAATGGACTGGACAGAATAAAAACTGTTTCACACGCATGCATAAATATGCTTAATTGAATCTAAAAATAACAACTATGTATTTTATATATATACATGACAATGAGGATATGTCCTCAGGTGGACCAAATGGTGCCTAAATCCGTTTTCAGGACGCACACCTGATGTTTTTGGTCCACAGTAAATGAGGCAAATGCTCGAAATGTCGAGGATGGCATACTGGTGCCGAGGACTGCGGACCTCGGTCTGGGGTTAAAGGCCTTTTTGGAGCATGCGTACTTCAGTACTAAAGTCCTGGCTACACTATGCGTGTTCTGCGTGCGTTTTTTGCGAGCTTGCGTGTTTTGCGTATATTATTTAAAAGTTAATAAAACCTTTTATAATAATTTAATAATTTTTTTTTTTGTATAAAAATATAACAAAAACAAAACATAATATCGTTTCTTTCTTGAACCATATTATGCAAATCACGCAAACTCGCAAAAGCAAAAAACGCACGCAGAAAACGCGAACTGACCAGGCCTTTACAACTTGCAACTCAGCTCCGCCGCGTATGAAGTTTGGTGTCGTGGGGCGGGCTTGGAATTGTTATTTTGTCATTGAAGATATGGATGGTTGAGGTAGTTTAATCATGAGAGCATTCAATTTATATTATGTAACTATTGAATAGCTTCGTATGTGTCGATATTCCGTATTCTTGATAGTAAAGAAAACTTGTAGCACGCCGAAAATGTCAAGTCCTGTGTAATGCTTTACCGGCTTTACCACTGCTTCCTAAAGTATCAATCAATATTTTTTTAATGGCTGATCACCAGCTATTTTAGTTTGGGTATCACAATTGATTTGCAAATTTTGGTCCTTTTCGATGATGCTGATAATATGTGGTAGTGTTCTGTGCAATTTTGCATGTTTTTTGCAAGCGCCAAGCCAATAAATTAATTTTTATAAGTACTGTGGTAGCTTCATTTGTAACAGAACTTGTGTTTTCTGTACTTAAATTACCATCTTTACACCGTATTTATATAAATAGCTACAACTTTGTTGAGTTCAGTATAGATTTAGTACTTTTCTATGTTTTTTGGTATTCTCCTAGTGTATTTGGTTGGTATCTGTTTGGTATCAGTTTCCAAAAATGTCTTAAATTGATATCACATATGTATATATTCTATATAACATCTTGATTGAATCGCGTTGACTTAAATCATGAGTTGAGTCATTCCCTGAATCACTGATAATGGGATGAGTCGTGATTGAGTTGAATCACAAGGTCCATGAGTCGTGATTGAATCGCTTGAAAATCAGACTGTTTGATTGAGTTATGATTGAATCGGTCATTTCATCAAGTGAGTCGTGATTGAATTGATTGAATTTTTTTGAATCGTTTACAAGTCTGATCCCACGGAGACGTGACAAGGTAAGAACGTCACAGAATGTTACGCGTCCTGTGCGTGACTCGTGCATGTCAGAGAAGAAGGTCACACCTAGCCGGTGCTTCGGGACGCCTCAAGAGAAGGCTGTTGAAATTATAGCAGAGAAGCAGAAGGAATGCATCTGCAGTATGACACGCAAACAGAGTGATCAAATAAGCGCAAAACCAGCAATCACAAGTATCTGAAACAATCTAGGGCTTGCGACCATTTCGATGTGTATCAGATTCCATGGTGATATACCCTTTGGGGCTCTAAACACAATCCTATATATACACACACGCACACACACAGACACACACATTCCAACTGGAGTTCCGGAGATAAACTGTTATTCTCAGCGGCCCTCGATGGCTGGTTTAACACAGCCAAACGATAGATTTAGCCGTGAAGCGATATGCAAGTCATGGTCACGGGTCAGGTCAGAAAACGGCCACAAAAGGTCAGGTCAGGTCAGGTCAGGTGAGTGTCCCGGTTCCAAAGTAGGTACAGTACATGCGGTTTCTAATTTAATGCATGCGGTTTCTAATTTATTGTTTGCTGCCAGGTGAACACTTGAATCTAGGGCTTATTACCAGGACAAACTGCCTTAAATCCTATGGATATGGATTAATGATTAAAAAAACAATCTATTTTCCTGTAGCAATACGCACAAAAAGCACAGATCTGTAATTGATATCAGTGTGTGCCAAGCGCATACAGCTACATCCGTTATCCGGCAGATAACGAGTCCGGCAGCGGCTGCTCTGTTGCCTTCGTCGGCGCAGCGACCCGTACCTACTCGACCAGGGCACACCGATCCAATTACTGGAGAGACACGGAAGTAAGTACGGCTGATGAAGCCAGGCAGCAGCGACCTGCACCGGTTCCTGGAGAGCTCCGGTCAGCGGTGAAAGACGTTCGAGGAATGGTGAGGTGGTAGCAATGTGTTCGCCGGAAACGGTGAGGAATGGCGGATATGTATACGAACCGACCGACCCTTGCGGGAGATGTCTGTTGGGACCACGGGTCCGCAGGGAATGTTTAGGAATGATGGCCAACTGGGTCTAACATCCCACCCAATGACAAGGGATAGTAAGCACATATTTCAGTCTTCCTTACCTTCGGGTTCCGGAAGTGTTGTCCACAGATGGCACAGCGTAGCGCCGGTCTGTCCGTGTCCGTGTCCGCGGACTGACCGGACACCGTGCCGGACACACCCCTCCCGGTCACACCATCACTGACCGCCACACTGTCACCGGTCGTCACCGCGTCACCGGACTTCACCACAGGCCGCATCACCGGCTTCGGTTTCACTGCAGGCTTCACCACGGGCGGCGACACTGAGCCCCTGCCGATGCCGTCACTGGCGCCGTCACTGCGGCCGTCACTGCGGCCGTCACTGGCGCCGTCACTGCCACCGCTGACCGCCGGCGGCCCGTCGGCGATGGTAACCCGCCTCACGGGGCCTGTCCCCGGCCCTGGCCCTGGGCCGCTGTCCCGTCCCTGGAGACCACCACTGCTGAGACCGTTCTCGGCGGCTGTCGCCCGGAGCCCGTTGGTGTGCGGAGTCTCTCCAGCCTCCATCTGTCGGACAGACACTGTGTCACGTCACGTTACAGCTCGGGTAACGTCACACCGTCACAACACCGGCACCGTCACGCGCGTTACATTCCCTCCCGTCACATCCCGTGCAGTCGCCGGTCACGTTACGTTTGATACTGGTGAAACATTTCGTAACACGGTAACAGTGAAATGACTTCAACGGTAGCTTTTACAAACAACATACCCGCCCACCCGCTGCTGCCACTGCTAGCGCCGCCGCGTCGAGGTCGTCGCGTCGACGACGTCGAACCACGTGTTCGGTGTTTGCCCACGCCCTGCAATGGAAGCTGGCTGCAGCGCTGGCCATCGACCGTCCCCTCACCCCCACCCCACCCCACCCCCTAGCGTCGGTGCTTACGACGCCCTCTGGGGGGCGGAGCGTTTCGGGGCCGCCGGGGAGAGATGACGTCATACACAAATCGATTTGGGCAAGTGGCCCGCCGGGCGGTCAGACGAGCAAGGCGGTCAACAGGCGGCGCACACGGCGGTATGGCCAGAAATGCATGACTGGCATGGTATCTGAGGACAGCATTCCCTTGTTAGGGAAAGGCATGTCGGGCGATTGAATAGTGATGAAAAGCTACCTTCTCGTTTGATTCTGATTCTCGAGATTCTGGTTAGACTCTATGCTAGCGGGACTGGCGCAGAATCAAATAAAATCACTCAAGACGGATCGCTGCATACCGGCACTAACAAGCTCGCGGAATGTTGGGCGGAGGTCCAGATAGATAGTGACAGTTTTATTGTTATAACGGAGACGGTAAATGTCACGCTTAATTCCAGGTGAGCTGAACGAGAGAATGGAGATGGAGGGCCGCCATAAAACTTGACTGGATATCCTCCAGCCTACGGCCTAGGTCACATTATCGGAAGGCAAAAGGACTACGAAACTACAGCATTAGCTCCGAAAAGTCGAGACCTTTTTTTACTCATCGCATCCTGTGTAGCTCAGCCAGGCATCTCTCATCTCTGTGAGGCGTGGCCGCAAGCAACTCCAACTCCAGACAGCTGCCTCCATGACCATTGACCCCGACTCGAGAAGTCGAAACTCTGCTTCCGTGAGCCCCACGTCCCCAGCCACATACACTCAGCATCTTCTCCGTGATACTTCAGCCAACTTCTCCGTGACCAGCCTGAGACATGCAGCCATTTTAGCCATTGTCTCAGAGAGCTAGATAGCGCAGCTGTCTTCGTGACCTCGGTCTATGTGTCTGTGTCTTCGTAACCCCGACTTCTGTCTCCGTGACCCCGGTCTGTTTCTCCATGTCTCCCCATGACCCTTGTCTTTGTCTCTGTGTCTCTCCGTTACCCCGGTCTGTGTCTCTAATCTCTATTGACCCCGGTGTGAGTAGTCTCTAAGTCTCCATGACCCTACGGTCTATGTCTCTGTGTCTCCGTGACCCCAGCCGCGGCGTGTCTGCGCAAAGAACCCAGCCCGTGTCTCTCTGTGCCTCTTGGCTCCGGCCTGTGTCTCCGTGACCCCGCAGTCTCTGTCCCCGTCTCTCCGTGATCCGACCCATCCGGTCGTCAGCTGGCCGGTGGCCCACTGGTGCGGATTCCCACGGTCCACCCCTCCCCATACCTGAGAGAGCGACAGTACCTGGCGACCGGAAGTGCACCGCCGGCTCAGTCGGCCCGCCAGACGTCCCAACTAACGAGCATCCGGTCCCCGGTGATTGGAAACGAGGGACTGTCGTCCTGTGAGGGACGGTACCTGGATGGTGCAACGCGAAAGAGGCGGACGTTTAGGACTAAAAGCCTCAGGCTGGACTGAAATTCCGATTAGAACTTAGAACTTTGAAGAAAATGAAATAAGGGTGACACAAGATAAATTGGACTAAATGGAAAGCTGTGCTGGCATTTGCTGAGAGGTGGGCCGAGTGAAGCCAACGGCGTGGGCGTAGCTCTGCAGCAGTGGGGGTCGGGGCGACGGGAGCACATGTCTGGGTGGTCTGAGCTTGGTCTGAGCCGGGACTGAGCCGGGTCGGGTGACATTGCACGGCTGGCTGGCCGCCGCCCAACTGGCAGGACGACGGGGACGCCCCGCGCCCCCGCCCCCGGCCGACCAGCTGATGAACCCCATCCGTCACCGGTGGGCTGGCAGGCGCCGGCGGCACACGCCACGTGGCACCTCAGAAAATAGCCGCCACCGGAGAGGCCTGCAGATGGGTGAGGAGTGAGGAACGACTGTATGCTGTGCTGATTGGCTGCTGAACGCTGACCATGATCAGCTGCCGACCGAGCAACTCCTGGCCGAACGTCATTCGACTACCTGTGTAATGACCGGCTTAAAGATTATTATGTTCTGACGCAGACCGACTGACTTCTGACCGTTCCTGGAGTCCGTCTGACCGCTGACTGACCGCTGACCACCTGCTGACCGGCCCCGCATGGCGTCCATCCGGTGTCGGCAGCCAACACAGCTGGAATTTGGCACATCACCGTCCCTCCGCGGCCGATCAGCCCAACAGAGTGCCGGTTAGGAACCGGTTCACATCGCGGTTTATTTTACACTGGGCCCATTAATCGAGATCAGCGAGCGGCAATATTAGGGTGGGTGTAAACAGGTGCTTTTGGAGAGTCAACTGTCGACGACATGTGTATGGAAAGCCTAACAACGATAAAATTCGAGTAAGAAGACCCTAGAGATTTAGGATCGAACTATGCAGACAGGCTGCAACTGCATACCCTTGAGAGTGCAGTCGTTCGTTCAGAGCTTTCAGAAGTGAGTTTGGAATGTTTGAAAGTGCGGCGTAAATACCATGGAGAGCGATCAAGCTCGACAGCCGCCAGTTCACACGAAAACATACGCAAACGATCTCAACCTCTAATCGATTCGTGGCCCGGGAAAGTGCCGAGCTATGGCTGCCGCGCGAGGTTTCCTCACGGCGTGGCGTTCACGGGCTGGGGCGGACGGAAGTACGCCGTTCGACTGAGCTCACGGAGCCGCGGTGTCCGTGACACGGGACTGACTCACGAGCCCCTCCGCTCCAGTGAGCTGAGATGAACGGTATTCGTCAGTGACATACCTCACCGCAGGTCTATAGCAACATTACGTTTTATTTTGCAGAACTTTTCGGTGTGGTGCACTGACGCGCTGAACTGCGTTTTCGCTGCAACGTGCTCGACTAACTAACTGCACTGCGTCAAAGCGCTAACATCCGGCTCTGCTGTGCCATGAGTCCAGCCAGACTGCCGTGCTAGTCGTGTCGAGGCAGAGAGGGGACCAGGCGGACCGGCAGCCGGCCGCGGTGGCACGTCACGCACAATCAGCCGGCAAAAACGCCGCTAAAAAGCCCGACTGACCGCAGCCGGCCGTGGGTAACGGGTGACTGCGGCGCGCACAATAGCCCCCGCTGGGCTGTCCCCGGCACGAAGGCTGTTCACGAACACACGTGGAGGGGAACCGGCGGACCGGGAGAGGAGAGGACGCAACGGGACGAGGAAAAGAGAGAACGAAACGAGACGAAGGAAAGAAAATGATAGGAATAATTAGAAATGAGAACGCATGGAAAGAGAAAAAAACACAAGGAGACGATAAAACAGGAGCAAAGAAAACTTACGCCAAGGAAAAAATGTAAAAATAACATACCTACAATCGGGTCAAAAACTGACTGAGAGCGAGGTGGTTTGGCAACACGGGATAAAAGCGGGACGTAATGAAACGGGACGTGGCCAGACAAAAAGAGACAGGTAGAAAGGAAATGTCCAGGCCCAAGTCCAAACATGCAGAGACAAAAATCCAAAACCATAAGCGGATGGAAACGAAACAAAGTTGACGGCAAAACAAACGAAATTAGAAAAAGAGACAGGACGAAAACGCCAAACGGAACAGATAACACGAAACGGGACGGTAGACATGACACGCAAGGATGGGAATGGGACGCGATAAGGCCGGATCAGATCACCCGAGCTGAACACAAACGGTACCTGCGGGCGGGCCAGCCGACAGGGCCCATCCCGGTAGTACGGCCGACTGCACGCGGCCTCAGCAGTGGATCGGCCCAGGTACCGACCGAGAGTGACACCGCCCCAGCCGGTCCCGGGAATGTCACTGGAATGTCTGACCCTGATCTATAAAATAATCGCAGGACGTCGTTCGGTGAACCGACAATGTGGGCCATGTCTCCGGGCCACTCCCTATATCGCGCTGAGGTAGGAAGGGACACCTGTTTAGCTCTGCCGTCTATCGCTGTTACCTGCCGGCCGGGTAGTAATCCATGGCTCGGCTCCGGACCACTCCCGTTGCGCTAAATAGTGGCGATTATCCGAGACTAATGGAGTGATGGATCCTGATGAATCGCAGTCCGATCGCCGCCTCTCCCGTTCCAGATATAAATCCTCCGACGACGGCGATCCATGGGCCGCGAATTCATAAACTGGGCCCGCCTTATCGATTGCATCACGGCCCGGCCGTCGGCGGGCTGAGGGTCCGCAGAGAATGGCGGATCGATGGGCGCAACTTGACTGCCTTCCGCGGAGCCGGGCCCTTGACGGTCCCGCGGGCGGCGGGCCGTATTGATTTCGGCGGCACCGCCCGAGGTTTGTGCGGGGCAAGTGGGGACGATCAGGGCCGGCCACCGTGCAGTGCTTCGTGTGCTGTAAGAGGGGAGCGGGAACCGGCTGTGTCGCGTGCACGCACTCCGGGCAGTCGGCAGCACGCTATGCGCCACGCAGCGAACAGTGCCGCTGTTTTCTCTCCCGCAGACCACTCGACGAGCTGGGCGAGGAAAGCGACAGCAGAAAAACAATGGGCAAATATGCCAGCCGGATTTGTGAAATATTTAATCGATGAAACTCGTAAACACATCACGCTCCCGGCACGCGAAACACAAGAAGCTACTTCGCATAAATGGGGCAACATCAGCTGTTCGCGTGCATGTCAAATCACATTTTTACACAGCAATAATAAAACTGCATCCGAAGCGCTACTCAGAAACTTGCATCTATCTCTGAATCGAGCTGTCTGACTTCGAATAGAGGCTGTCACAAAATCGCACATAAGAGAAAGCTGGCGGAATTCAGCGAAGGTTTTCCACCATATCTCGCGTCACTCTCAATCACTGGATCGGACGTAATGCATTGTGTTGTCAACGGCACGTCAGCCATAGCTTTGTCCCGGACGGGATAGGCGGAAAGACAGCGAACGGTCGGACATGGTTGCCTGTCTGTGTGCGTGTCGATACGTCCGTACATCACGTACCGTCAGTTATATTTTATACCGTCCCGTCCTTTTCCGTCCCTGTCCCGTCCCGTTCTATCCCATTCCACCTCGTTTCGTCCCTTCCCTTAGGACCTGATGTTGTGACATCGCGTGTCGTCCCCACGCGATGAGAGGTATCTCCCCGACACGTGTATCTCGTTTCATCCCATCCCGTCCTTCCTGTTGCAAGCTGTCCTATCCCGTCGGTCCATGTCTTGTTCACCGTCTACTCATCTACCAATCTCTTCATCCATCTATCCATCTATCGGTCTGTCTATCCACCCACCTGCATTCATCCATCGATCCGTCAGTCGATCCATTCGTGTGTCCGCTAGTTCGTCTGTCCGTCTATTCGCATGTCCGTTTTTCTGTCCATGCATTCGCTCGTCTATCCGTCTGTTCGTCCGCTCGTCCGCCCCATGCATTGCGTCTGTCTGTTCTGCGGACCTGATTTTGGATCTATTGTGTCGGCTCCGTTACGGAACGGGGCGGGGCCGGTCGGTCGCCGGAGAGAGAGAGAGAGAGAGAGAGAGAGAGAGAGAGAGAGAGAGAGAGAGAGAGAGAGAGAGAGAGAAAGAAAGAGAGAGCGAGAGTCAGAGAGAGAGAGAGGGGACAGAGCCACACCGGTGACTGCGACAGCTGACATCCCACTGTGAGCTGGGCGGGAATGTGCCACTCATGGAAACACCATTCACGGACGGGAGTGAAGGGAGAGGAGAGAGAGAGAGAGAGAGAGAGAGAGAGAGAGAGAGAGAGAGAGAGAGATAGAGAGAGAGAGCGAGCGAGAGCGAGAGCGAGAGCGAGAGCGAGAGAGAGAGAGAGAGAGAGGAGAGAGAGAGAGAGAGAGAGAGAGAGAGAGAGAGAGCGCTGCGACAGACGAACCGACTGCATGACAGCGACTGAGACGCATCATTCCAACACGAGTTCCTTCAGCAGAGGCCCACTCCGCTCACAGCATCCTCGCCCCTTCATCTGCTGCTGCTGGAATCAGACTGGCCAGAGCCACCGACAGAGAGCGGCTCTGAGTCGTGTTTGTCCGGCTGGAGCCCAGCGACGATCGATGGCTTCACAGAGCGAATATCATTATCGTCGGCACGGGGTGACCGTGTGGCGTCGATAAATTAGCGAGCCGTAACCGGAGAGCACCGGGCTATCGATGGCGCGGGACTGGCGGCCATCGCTCATCGGGGGCGCTGATGGAGGACTGAGAGGGACGGCAGGCGACCGGAGAGGTGGATACGCGGAAGTAGCCGGGAGGATCAGATTAATGGTGCTGGGTCGACTTATCTGTATTTGATATGTTGTTTGGACTTGTTAAAAATAAATGAAGATATGGAATAGCCAGCTCACGTGATGTTTTGAAATCAACGTCGTGCTAGCTTCGTGAGTCGTGTTGTCGTTGCTTCAGTCTTCGTTGTCTTTTTGTGCTGCCCATAAATTCCCCGCCAAGCTGAAGAAGATACACTACGTCCAAAAGTATGGTATGTGAAAGTGCATGCTGCATTCTGTGAGCCCAATAGTTCTAGTTCATCGCTGTGATTCCTAGGGTGGAACAACAGGCAGCATGTCCTTCCTTCCGTGACGCCCCTGCTGCCAGCCAACGAGGGACTCGCCCCCGCCCCTCTCCTCCCCACGGCGTACCACACGGCCACAGCCGACATGACAGATAGCCAGACTGATACCGTGCGAAAACAATCACGACAGACAAACGGTGCCGGCAAGACGCCGCGATAATCTCAGCGTCAGTTCCGGCCAGACGCCGCGTTATCAACTCGACTGCACCACGCTAGCGGAAACGATACGGAGCGTTCCACGCCGCAACCCGTCCGCCACGTGGTCGCGATTGTCCCCCGGGTCACAGTATTGCCCCGTATACCTCCAGGCTCCACAGTCCACTGAGACACCCACTCACCTCTGAGTATCCTCCTGTAGCACCGCACACACGCGTCCCGCCCGCCGCCACCACACACACACTTCTCCGTACGACCGGCGCGGACGGCGTCGGCGCAGCCACTGGCGGCAGCGGCGGCGGCGGCGGCGGCGGCGGAGCCCGGTGGCGGC